CACACAGATCCAGGAGCACACACACAGATCCAGGAGCACACACACAGATCCAGGAGCACACACACAGAGGCTGCACACGCAACATGGAGGGAGGGACCGGAGCCGCCTTCTCCAGTGTGTGCGCTGCCGCGCTGGCCGCGGGGACCCTCGGCACTGGGACCGGCCTGGATGGACCTCACAGGTCAGTACCAGCCACAAACCCCCTCCCACGGGCTTTCCCTTTTTTTTACCCCTGCTTTCTTACAAATGGAGTGTCTCCGTGTCTCCGAGGGATGTAATTGTTTCACACTCGGTCGGAGCCCGATAAAGACGCAGAGCGGGGTTTAAGGAGGCGAGCGCGTTGTCCTCGCTTAGGGAATGCACCTTCATTTTAATATTTGCGGTGTTTTTAAGCCCGTGTGTGTGACTGTGTGTCTTTGAAGTGGTTGAGCATTTGAATGGAGAAAGGTTAATTGCCTCCTTCGATCAGATTACACCGGGGGTAGCTCACCCCGACATGGATAGAGCAGGCAAATACTAATTTTGCATCCTGTTCTTCTTGTGACAGCGGTCCTTGAGGCATTTTTGGGCAAAGTGTGTAGGATGTGGTTATTAGCGTGACAGAAATAGCATTTTTTATTAGAAATGCACTGTATCCTCTGTGTAGGAGAGAGGAGCACTCTGGCTGTACTTTGTGTGAGAGCTGCAGTAGTCACAGGGGCTCTGTGCTGAGCTGTTTGCTGGATTATTTTAATTTCTAATGGATAACTAAGTGCTGGCGATAGTATATGGGGTTAGGAATGATAGTTTTGGAGGGCCAGGTTATTGTGGAATGAAACAGTGCTGATTATCCTCATGGCAAATGGTCTCCTTCACCGTGGGCTCGGATTTGTGCTGTGGTGGGAGGCAATAAGCCTGGTGCTGTTGCAGTTCAATTTTCTACTTCAGGGCTGAGAGTGAATAAACATTTACTGGTGAGGAAAAAAGGGGGGAGCTGGGGAAGCAGTATCATTTAAAACTTGCTGTTCCCACCTACCTGGGTTACAGATCAAGGCAGCTTTACCAAACCAGGAGTTATTTATGAACCAAGCTGCCGGAAGCTGCAGACACAGGTTCTTATTTCACTGTATAATTATCAAGTCTTGATAATTTATGTTGACTCCTCCTACTTCACTTACACTACCAGAAACCCAAGGAGAGTAGCTCCTACCAGCACTGCAAAATTTCTCTGAGTTTGTCTGTGTTTTCTTTCTTCCTTGAAGTATTTATCCTTAGGGAAGCTGCTGCTGGATATCTGCTCATTGTTTGTACTAGGTAGTGACTTGGGCACTGTGAGAAAGGTGTTTGGGAAATTTTGGTTCTCCTTACTTGGAAACAACACTGTATTTAAAAATTAACTGTGTCTAGTGTGCTAATCTGAAGGCTTTACACTGCCCAACTCCCTTTGTGATGGAAAAAGCACAATATGCAATATACTGGCAATATTTTGTCACCCAAGTATAAAGCCACACAAATGTTGGAGGGAAATTTGTTTGGCGTGAATTCCCTTGGGAATCAGAGCTCTGACATTTGTGGGAAGCTGGCAGTGTCAGCGTGTGCAGCACTAGGTCTCTGGCTGAAGGCAGATAAGTTTAGTTTAATAAAATCTATGCAGTTTTCTTCCAAATGAGTCTTGTCATCCACAGAAACCTGCAGAATAAATAGGTTTTAGTTCTGGTAGTGACGTCCCCTTTTTTGTTGCTTGTGCAGAGAGTCCAGAGCATGACAGAACTTGGGATGAGCTGATTATGGTTGGCTGTCTTAAGGCAGATCTTTTGCTCATATTCCCTCTGTGTCCTGCCTTTCAGCACAGAGATCAAAATTGGTATTGTTTTTAGCAGCAAGACTTGCATTTAACAGGATTATAGAAGCATTTTTAACTTCATGCTCTCAGTCCAGTGCCCCTGATTGATGCTGGGAATGCGGGGAGTTTGCTGGTTATTGATGTCAAAGTTAATGTGCTGTGCTGATGCATCTTTTCTTCAGGAAAAAGCCGTTTTCCAAGAGCAGGGTTGCGGAGTCTTTGCCCTGCTCGTAGCAGCTTTTTGGCTGGAGGGGACGAGGGGTGGAAAAAACAGCAATGCTGAGCTTGTGCAGGGGCATTCATTGCAAGGGACAGGCTGTGTGTGTTCCTTGGGATGGATCCCATCCTCCAGGGCACTCTGGGATGGATCCCATCCTCCAGGGCACTCTGAGGGGATTTCTGTCCTGCATAACCCATTCTGGGTGATGTGGCATGTCACTATGTCACAGTTTCTTCTCTCGAGCTGCCTTTTCCTCCTGACCTCTGTGTGCCCTCCTCTCCTCACGCAGCTTTCCCATGCTCCAGCCCCCCAGGATGCTTTGTGTGGAAAAAAATGCCTTCATCTTGTCTTATGGAAGGAGGGGTCAGTTTATCAGAGCATTAGTGAGCATGACCTTGGCTCCCCCTGGTCTTTTTGCAACAGCCAGTGTATCGGAAGTACAGTGTGATATATCCTCAGTATTTGTATCAAAAATACAGAAATAATCATTTAATCCCTCTGTGTTGATCTTTTTGGTTTAATCTTCCATTGTGTTGAATGATGTTTCTCCTCATTGTTTGATACTTGCTGAAAACTTCAGGCCCTGCTGTCAGGGACACCAGTTTAATGTTTTGATATTCTGCTGCTGACAGTGGTCATTAAAGGGAATTAAATCCCTTATTCTCACCAGTGGCATTGTGTTGAAAAATGGAGTATTATTCCCAGCTTCCATTCAGTTATCAGCCTGGAGAAAAGGAAATTAAAGACAAGAGAAATGATGAAAGGGAGGAATAAGGTGACTTTGGATGGTGGCTGTGATGGACAGAAACCAGGAGAACTGGGATGAGGTCTGAGCTTCCCAGTCCTGAGGATAAGTACCAAAGCAGGCAGCTTTTGAGTCAGAGCAGGGGAAGCTTCAGTGTATATTCATGTAAAAAGGAAAAAAAGGCAGATGCACACTTTTTGTGTGCTCTTTTGGGTGAATGTACATTGGGAATAGCACTGGGATGCAGGGGCTGAGGTGGAGTGGGATCTCCTCGGTTCCATCCTGTTCCTTGGGTGGCAAAGTACAGGTACTCCATTGTTTACTCTTGTTTATTTGTTGAAGGAGTTTCTGTGTGCTGTTTCTGCAGAGGAGCTTGCAAACATTTGAACTGCATGTCCAGAGAGCAAGTTCAAATCTGACCCTGAGCACTTTGGTGCATCTCACACTCTGCTGCTGCTTTGGCCTGTGGTGGGACCAGGCGTGAGGTGTGGGGGGATGGTGGAGGAGGGCAGGGATCTGCACTTGGTGCCTTGCTTTGAAGCCCCACTTGTATTCCAGCTTCTCTTTGTGCCTCGTTCACTCCTCCTGAAGGTGTGAGTTGGAGTGAGTTGTCGCAGCACCTCTGGAGACCCTCTGGAGGCGATGGAACACCTGCTCCTCCGGCGGCTGCCTCTCCTCACGCAGTCCCATGGCTGATCTAGTTTTCTTCCTCCTCTGGGTAAAACAGCAGTAGAAGTGCAGTACTTGCAAGAGGTTGTTCCAGTTTCCCTTCAGAGCTGGTCTGAGGTGCTCTGTGGTGGCAAAGCCCATCCTTGGTGACGGGAGGTGGTGGCCGGGATTGGCAGAGCTGGGCGTGACCTTGGCTCCGCTTCCCACCCCAGGGACGGGCTCGATGTGTCAGATCATCTGTGTAAATTATCTTCATGGCCTCCACTCGAATTCAGAAAGGCCCTGCCTTCCCTCTCAGTGAGTCCCACGGCTGACTGAACTCCTGAAGCATCCGGAGGCTGACAGGGCACTGCTGCTCCTTGGGTTCCAGACGCTGCGCCATGTTCACTAAGAGACTCCTCGGAGTCAGAAATCCCTGGTTAATCAAACCTGGGGAAGGACTTCTAGCCTGACACCTCCCATAATGTTGAAGAGCAGAAAGCCCTTGTTCCATCAGCATGCCAAGAGTTTAACTCAGCTCTCTGGTTTTGCTACAGACAGTTCAATCTGGGAGCAATTTTAACAAGGGGTTCAGCACATCCTGTGGCTTTTCTGGAATAGACTGGTGGCTTTGCTGGACACTGAGGTGACACCCAGGCAGTGGTGATGGTTTACATTCTCTTGCCAGATGAATTCAGTGCAGGTGTAGCCCTGGTGGGATTTAACCACTCTTAGAAGGGGTGGTTCTGTTGTTATGACTCCACTTGAACCAAGTCACTGGGTGCATCTCCCTGTTCCAAACTGTGACATTCCAAGGAGCACAAGCCAGGTGAGGGGTTATCCTAAGGAGCACAAGCCAGGTGAGGGGTTATCCTAAGGAACACCAGCCAGATGGGGGGTTATCCTAAGGAACACCAGCCAGATGGGCGGTTATCCTAAGGAACACCAGCCAGGTGGGGTTTCCCCCTTTCCTTACACATTATACAGTGAATTTCCTGTTCACAGCACTAGTGAATAGTCAAGGATTTTTCGCTGTTTTCCCCTCCAGGGTTTATAAATTAGTGCTCCAAACCTTGCTCAGGACTGGAATGTGCAGATGAGGTTTCAGCCCTTAAGGAGTGTTTTAAACCAGGCAAATAGGCTTGATTCTTTGGCCACATTTTTTCGTTTGTGTTTCAGAAGGTTTTGTCCTTTTAAAAGTGAAACATAACAAGATACTACACAAGCCTTATTCAGAAACATTAAATACAATATTTCCAAGCCTTCTCAGTGTATCTTCTGTTATTAATACTTCAGTGGAATATCTTTGCTTGCTGTATGAGATAAATGTCATTTGTAAGTGTATCTCTTTGCAGTGTCTTCGGTGTCACTGTGCTGGATTCTGTTTTGGGAGTGTAAATGTGCTGGACCAACACGTGTTATGCTTTTTAAAATTTATTTACATACAATACCTGCCTGTTTTAAGTGCACGTGCCCACAGTGATTGTGTGAAAGTTTGTGTTTTAAATAAAGATGTGCTGGGACTTTGGAGAACCAAATCAATAGATCCATGAAATCAAGAGTCAAAAGGTAAATAAAAAGAGCACTAAACTACTTGATGCATTTTTTTTTCCATGGTTTTTGAGCAAATCTCACAGTCTGGAGAAAGGGGCCATGACACATATTTTCATGTTTTCCATTAGTTATTCAAAAGTAAGGGGAGAATTTTGAATGGCATCAAACACCAGCAAAGCCCTGGCTGCCTGC